ACTTGGTTTATTCGAGTGCAGTTTTTCCACCACTTAGACTTAGGAATAATCTACGGCTCTCCTGGTCAGTCAATTGCACTGGTATACTGATGTGTCGAAGCATCAATGTCTCCCAAAAAGGCATTGACCGACCGGAGAGCGAGAGATTATTCCCAAGTCTAAGTGGTGGAAAAGCTGCACTCGAATAAACCAAGTGTTTGTGTAGCAGTGTGGTGACTACATGTGCGAAGAAGTCCAGAGAACAGTGTAAGTAACATACTCTTGGGTTGTGGAAGAAGTGTGGGAGGTGGGCAGGAAGAGTGGGGAGGGGGGCACAAGTTCAAGGTTAGAGTGCTGTATATATTAAGTTTTTTGGCGGGAAAACTTTAATCCAATTAATTAACCAGGTGAGGGTCCCAATCCTTTTTTTTTGGCGGGAAAATTTTAATCAGAGAATTTAAGTGTGAGGGACCAAAGTGACAATTTTAGGGCAATTTGGTATACTCAACTATATGATATGACAAATTTTTCAGTGACGCTTCACGTGGAATTCAAGTGGCAAGTTTTTTGGCGGGACCATTTCAATCAATTTCATGTGCTCAGCGAAATTAAGTGTGAGGGTCCAAAACGACAATTTTGGGGCAATTTGGCATTCAACTATACAATTCAATGAGTTTTTCAGTGATGCTTGTCGTGGAATTAAAGTCGTCGGCTGCTATTTACGTTAAATGGCTGCTCACAGAAAAAAAACGCTTCTAGACCCTCAGATTAGAGTGAACTGAGCAAAAGAGAGAATGCGAGTGCATGTGTGTGCACCTGAAGGCATGTGGAGTGTTGTCTCGTGTTAATAAAGAAACCATACTCACACCTCCACACAGCTCTGTCCATAAAAGTCCGGTTATTCCTCCCTCTACAGTCTGCATGGTCTCCGGATTCACAGTGTCATCTTGAAGACAGAGAAACAAAAGTCAGCGTATTGAAAACAGCTGTTGGCCTTTGAATGAAAGCTCATCTGTGTTGGTGTATGTAGGTGAAAAGCTATCCGTGCATCCAACCTTTGGACCACCGCAGGAAAGTTGATGCACTGACTCTCGTATGTACCACAGAGAGGCACCAGCCCTGTTAAATGACCTTGTCCCTAAACACAAAGAGGTGCGGCGGGTGACACGCCAGTCAAAATCCCATCACAAAAACACTCTGGCGGTCCCTGTCTCCCACACCAACAATCATATGAGAACCTTTTTTTGTACCAACAACTGTTAAACTTTAATTGGAACAGTCTTCCGAGGGAGATCACTAAGATCAGGGACAGACAAAGATTCAAACGTGAAGTTAATTCTTTCCTCGGCGCAAAACTCTGACAGCGTTCTGTCTAGGCAATCCTGCTGCTAATGCTGAGTGAGAGCTGACATAGATTTAAAAAAAACGAAAGATCCCGAGGGAAACTTCAACAGTCTATATGAGGGGAACATCAACAGTCTATAGATCGTCAGGCAGAGAATATGCGCTTAGCCAACATGAACTCTAAGCAGGCCATAAGATCATAGACCAGGAATCCCGTAAGGCTCATAGAAACATCAAGGAAGCAGTCCACATCCAGTAACGTTAGAATGCACTATAATTACAGAGTAGACAAGAAATTTGGGGGGACTTTTCCAGATCCAAAAGCCTGTACCTCATGAACAAAAGAACGGCTGACATTCTGATCATTTGCTATTGTCCCAAAGTATCTTTTTAGTTGTTCCAGCCTAAATTTTAGTGGTCAGTGGCCACTAAACCACCTTTAATTTCAAGCCCTGGGTTTTAGGTGCAGTACATTCTGCCAATAAATCACATTCAACTTGAATACTATCATTATAATTGTTTGGTGTTATATAGCTAGTTGGTGTATTGTGCTGAAGGTTATACCAGCTATTACCGGCAGCCTGCCTTGCCCATGAGTTAACAAGGAAGAGTTTTGAGAGTTGTAAAGTTTTGTCTCACCTGTACAAACTCTTCACTTCACTGTCTTGAAGTCCACTGGTTTGCTGTGCCCTCTCCAGGTTTCTCCCAGTCAGGACAGGAACATCAGGACACACCTAATTAAATGAAAAAATAATTTAGTGTTATGCCCCAAAATATGTTAACACTGAATGATCATAATAAAAAATGATAAATTCTTCAAAAGAAATAGGTTATTTATTTAGTAAAGTTTCTTTTTCTGATAGTGTCATACCTTGGACTTCTTAACACACCAAAGAAAGTTCAAAACATTGTCTCACCTGTACAAACTTCTACAACCTGTACAAATATCTTTCCCCAGCATTTTATTTTACTGTCAGTAATATGTTCATTTTATTGTTATTAAATATATGCGAGCCAATAAAACAAAACAAAACAAACAAACTCTTTACTTCACTGTCTTGAAGTCCACAGGTTTGCTGTGCCCTCTCCAGGTTTCTCCCAGTCAGGACAGGAACATCAGGTTTGCTGTGCCATCTCCAGGTTTCTCCCAGTCAGGACAGGAGCATCAGGACACACCTAATTAAATGAAAAAATAATTAGTGTTATGCCACACCAACACACCAAATAAAGTCCAAAACATCGTCTCACATGTACAAACTCTTCACTTTACTGTCTTCAAATTCAAGTCCACTGGTTTGCACAGAAGTCACCCGTCATCACAGGTTCTCCCAGTCAGGACAGGAACGCCAGGACACACCTACTTATAAAGAATAATTTTAGTGTTATGCACCCTCAAAAATCTGGGCAACAGCAATTGATTTTGAAATTTAATCACTATGATAAATTCTGTATTTCAATATTCATTGATTCCTCCAAATTTATTCCATGGAAAATTTAGGTGCACAGAAAAAAAATACTTAATGCTCCTCTTCACTGAAGTTCAGGGTTCAAATCCGAGGTTCTATTGTTAAAATTGAAACAATCCACAAGTTTGAATCATTATTATTTCTTTCTGACATGTACATGCATGCTCATACAAATATCTGTCACTGTTATGTATCAAAAATTATGTGCACTGCATCAATTTTGGTGTACAAAAGAAGCACCCAGTATTTCTAACCATGGTTTTTTTTATATAAGAACTATTTTTGTAGGAATTTTTTTATATCATGTGCACCAAAAATATTTTTAGGTTGGGTGCACCAGTGCACCTATTCCCAAAAATGAATTTCAACAAATTTTCAAGCCTAGGGAAGGATAGTATACAGAGGTGAGGAAAGTGCCTTTCACAAGAGGTTGGTGAATGGCAGGATTCGAACCCGGACCTCGTGGTTCTGAAGTCGAATGTCCTGCCGTCACGCCACACAACCCCACTAGTTTCTTCTGTACCGAAATTAACCCTTAGCTTTTCTAAATGCCACTCAACACAGAAGAAATATATTCAGCGTTCTCAAAAGACATGTTACTCAAGAAAACGACCTCAATACAAAATGGTTCAGTACAAAATATAGGAGACAAACTCGGAATTTGTTGTAGTAACTTGTACGAAACGCGCCATTTTTACCCTCAAGTTTGCAAGGAAAATAATGGTTAATATGACGGAATTCCGCGGAACACAACTTGAGTTTGTTGCTACAGGTTTGTTGAAAGAACAAGCATGTGCATTATGGAAATAGTTTGTTATCTTACCTCGTAAAAAGAACGAGTCTTCTCAGCACCACGCCGTCCTTGCCGCCATGGCAGCCGCCATCTTTACGGTTTCTTCTCCAAACTTGGCCCTGCCAGGAAATGAGTATTTTCTCCCTCAAACGTCCCAAGAACGGCACGAATCCTTCCCGAAAACGTCCCCACGGTCGACTGCACACTTTAGACGGATACTTCGCGGACAAAAAGCCGAAAATTTACCCCAAATGTTGGAGAGAATTCACACACAAAACGCCACACGAAAGCATGGCCGTCACACATGCATGTAGCTGAAATCAAGGCGGACCGTACCATGTGTAATGATTACATAGGGGTGCAAAGCTGCTTGGTAATTTATTTAATTGTTTAACTAATTGAATAATGGAGTTAAAATGATTGAATATTGCCATACTTCTACTTGAAGATTGCCTACGAGGGAGAGGAAAATTGTAACTATCTCACGGCATTAAGAATAGGTGCTTTAAAAAGAATGCAATTGTAGATTTGGCTCCTGTAATACACAATAAGAATGCCCTGATTGGGTCTCTCCTTGGTGCTGAATTCACCATCAGTTCCATGTATTAAGTACAGTAGTTTCGCACTGGCTTTTTCTTCTTCCTATTCCTGTCAACTTCAATCTGTTGAAGGCTCTGACACGAACGGGGTGGAACACACTTGATGCAAGTGGTGTGTGTGTGTGTGTGTGGGGGGGGGTTGGTGCACTTGGTGTTAAGGGGGGGTACACTTGGTGTTAAGGGGGGTACACTTGGTATGAAGAGGTGATTGTTGCTGTAAAGCTAACAAGTTTAACATATTTAGAGTACTTAATTAATAAAAAGTAATTATAATAAATAAAAAACAGAATCATGGTGCAAAATAAAGATTTATTTTCAAGAAGAGCCAAGTTTGGAATATGTTTACATCTTAACAATGATGTTAAAACAATTCTATACAAGGCTATAGAGATACACAGTAGTCCTCTACAGTTAGGGCATAGCTGCCTACCAGGGCAGTTTGCACCCCTACTGAGGACATACTGGAATATTGCACAGTTACTGCTTAGAAGTACACTTAGGCAAGACCAATTTAATTAGATGGTTCACAGTATGTTGATTTAGGTTAGACATACAGGTACAACAATATTCAAAGAGAAATCAAACTACGAAAAATGTTACGGGATAAATAACATAACTAATCTAAGTGCATCTACAACTCTTTTTCAGTGTCACTACATGAACTGAGAGCGAAGTTGACACTAATCACATGTTAAGGAACTGGAAACAGTTGAACATGACATAGTAAATGTCACATAATATGTCAATGAGAATAGGGTAAATGTAGTTCCTATTATAAGACAATACCATAGGCACTATTACTGTCCCTTGGGTCCACAGGTTTAAAAAATGCTGAACTGAAAACAGAATCAGAGGGGGTAAAAAAAGGAAAGTATAGTATGATTAAAGTCTGCTGTCTTGATAAACTGATTTGCAAAACATCAAAAGAGTCATAAATGGTTAATATTACAGGATATTCTTAACCAACGGTATGTGCAAATTCAAACATTCAAATCACAAACCCTATAAGCTTGTTTAGGGTAATTGCAGAGAACTACATCAGAGCAGGGCATTCTAATTCTAAGGTAAATGAATAAGAGTAAATTCCTGGTGGAAAATAGTAGAATGGGATGATTTAACAGAATGATAATTTTGCATAGAGGAATTAAGACTATATCAATGCAGGATGTTCTGGGGAAGTACTGAATAACTAACAGTTAGGTTAAAGCTATTGGAAAAGTTTGATTTCAAAAATTTATCCAATTGCTTGAGGAACTCTTCTTGTCTTTTAGAGGTCAATGGCTCAAGGTCGCCATTCCAGGAAGTAGACCTTCCCCAGCTGGTCGCCACACGCCAGCCTGTTGCATCCTGGGATAGGTGGGCGTGCCAGGGTGGTGATGGGAGAGTGACAGTGGAATTGCCCAACCTATAGGAAAAAAAAGTTGGAAGTCATTTACCTTTGATATCTAAGTCTTTTGCCAAAGACTAGCCTCTACCAGGCTTCGGGAGATGGCTGGAAAGAGTAGAAATTGGCCAAAAAGAGAGAGATAACATGCCAGGGGAGTTGGTCCGCTAGACAGTACTCTCTAGCAGACCAACTCTCCTGGCATGTTATCTCTCTATTTGGCCAATTTCTACTCTTTCCAGCCATCTCCCGATGCCTGGTAGAGGCTAGCCAAAGGCAACAAAGAAAGTCTGCATGTTTACCAGACTTGTACAGGCACTGCCCCTGTCCTTGGTGCTGAACAGGTTTGTTTGGTCTAGGAAAAACAAGTTGCCGATTTCCCTAGCTACTGACCCTAGCCTTTTTCAACCCAACTGCTGGCAAGGGACATATAGTTTTCAATCTGGCAACCACATTGTGGATTTCAAACACTCTAAAATGTTCAGTGTTTCATACATTTCCAAAGGTAATTCTTCTTCTTATTATTATTATAAATTATATTATAAAAAGTAATTTAGGTGAAATGTTTCTTTCTACAACCCTGCACAGTTTCTGTCCCAGTCCCAAGTACACTACTGTAACGATTCTCCGCAGTTGTTCCAATAAATTCATGAACGTTTCATAACATATTCAGTTTCCTCACCTGTTTGAGATCTCTTGTCCTCCACACTTTGATCGTCTGGTCATGTGATGCAGTGAAGATGACATCATCACCCAGCAGCACCTGGGTTATCTTCCCAGCATGCATCTGTAGGATTACAGAAAAATGCACAAGACATAATAATGTCAAATATCATATTATAAATTGTATATGAATGGTTTATTCCAGGACTGTCGCAAACATAGCAGCCAGAATGGCTGAATTGTGTTAACTGTAACATGACAACAGTTTGGTAAGAGACATACATTGTATTCAAATGTAAAAAACTAGAATGGAAACAATCTAAAAGTCTAGTAGTATACAAAATTTGCTGGTTTATCAGATACTAGTAAGAAGTAAGATTATTTTGACAAGTTGAAAAAAAAACGTCACGAATCGTCAGTATACAATCATAAATTAGATGTTAAGTTAAATTTGTTACAGAAAATGAAAAATTATGATTTGAGTAAAATTTCTGCATAAAATACATCACAACTGACCTTCTTACAGAACACCTGGGTGTTATTCCTGACCTTGACCTTCCCAGCGAAGGTCATGTCCTTCCGCTCCCTGATAGGCGGGTCAAACTCGTACACAGCCAGATTTCCAAGGTCGTCACCCAGCATGACCCCCCTGTTTCCATGACAACCGAGGTCGGCCAGAGACTGGAGGTTGTTTAGAACCACGGCACAGCTGATCTTTGGTTGGTCAGGCTGGGCCGACCCATTGTCATCTGGGGGGTTAAGGGATAATATTTCTACTTTTACTAACAAAAATTTGAAAATACTGTTACATAATTTTTTTATTATGTAGGTTTGTACCTTCGTAAACTACTGCCCCGCTAAATCTGTCCTGAAAAGTTAAATTGACCTTCTGTGCTTGGGAAAGAAGAAGAAACAAAGAAGGGAAAGGCCAATTAAAAAGCAGTTACTCAAGCAGAAGGGTGAAGGTTAGACATCCAGGTAATAAGATAAACCAAAAAGCAGTTACTCAAGCAACTGGATATGATTTTGGAAACGGTCAGACGTTTCAGGTAGCATCCACTACCTTTCGTCAGTGACACTGGAGAGTTGTCAGAAAGGCAGGTTTATAAGCACGAACCTTTGATTGATATCAAAATAAGTGAAGACAATTCATTTGAAAGTCCAAAAGGAAACAAAGAGGAGAAACACGAAAGAAGAGAAAGAAGGGAAACATAAGCCCCACCTGTGACTTCATGTTTGACGCGGTACGTTCTGGTGATCTTATTCTTCTTAGTACTCAAACACATTGATCAATTCATATATAATATATTTCTATTTGATTGAAGAAGAAGAAGAAACTGAACAAAAACAGCATGTCTTAATTCCTTCTGCAAAGGTGAACACTAAAACCCCACCTGTGAGTTCGTGCCTGACACAGTACATTCTGGTGATCTTATTCTTCTTACACAAACACATCCATATATGATATATTTGTTTGGAGAAGAAGAAGAAGAAGAAACTGAGCAAAAACAGTATGTTTTCCTTCTGCAAAGGTGAACACTAAAACCCCACCTGTGACTTCATGTTTGATGCGGTACGTTCTGGTGATGGGGCCATCAGGACTTTGCAGAACGGCGCCGATGACCTCACTGGCGCAGGTCGCGGCAAACAGCTTGGGATCTGATTGGCTGAAGCCACAGCCAATCACCCAATCCGTACAGTCCATCCACACACCTGGAAATTAAAAATCAGTTTCTTCCTTTAAGTTTTTTAATTTTTTTTGTAGCTGCTAAAAATGTGTATACAAAATTTAAGATTTTGTTCTCAGTGTGTCTGTTTGTGAGTTTGCTTGTCTTTCCATAGTTATTTCTGATGCTACATGTAGATATATTGGATACACTGGCAGAAGGTTACAAGTTCAAAGCTCCAAGAAAATGATTTCCGGTCTTTTATTTCCTGCTACATGCATTTCTGTTGTCTTATGGGATACAGAGGGAAAATGCATAGAACCAGCAAGAAATTTACAATTATTATAATGAAAAAAAAAGACAGATAAACTATAACAGTAAGTAACAACAATACCGGGTACCTTTTAACAAGGAGCCACTATAACCTTCTTGCTTTTAAAAACAACATCTAATGCTAAATAGTGTCTCCAGAAAGTGCTGCAAAAATTGTGTCAAGTCCAAATGGAATTATCAGAGCAGAGAAGTTGAGACAGAAACGAATGTAAGGGTTTCCTTATTAGTTTAGCACCAAAGGTTTCCAGTCTGTTACTGGCAAATATAAAGCTGAATCCTCACCCCCGCAGCTGTTTAGACTGTATGTCCCCCCACAGTCCCATGTATGCGGGAAGCCCTCCCAGCCACCGGCTACAATCATGTTCCCATTTGTAGCCAGGCTCAGGAGTGGGGAGGGGTAGGGGGCAGGCAGGGTCTGCTTAGCTCTGAAAAACAGGCATATCACAACATTATAAGTGCCCTTGGCTAGCTCGACAACTACATATAGCTAGTGAAGCAGTGGATTGCTCATTCCTTGACAAAGACTAGAGTTGTGAGCCCAGTGTTGTAATTCACAGTTTAAACAATTATAGTTACAATAAATTCTTATTTGTGTTTGAACCTTGCATTGGGACATCAAGGATGAACCTGCTTTAAATAGTGACATTTCTAGCAACAAAAAGGTTAATTGGTGGTTGGCACATTATTACAAAAACTTAGAGTACAGTGTATATGCATTCCAAGTAATTTCACAACACTTGGTTCACTCATGCATATTGGTATAAAGTTCATGTGGAATGATTTACCTTTTCGTAGCTTCTAACTAAACATAAGTAGAAAAAGATGTTCAACCTTAGTCAAGACTATTATTTTTCCAACTTACTTGATGAATGTCTTGTCTTTCTGCTGTGTGACAGCCCAGACTTTGACCAAGCCGTCGTCAGAAGCCGTAGCAAACATGGCGCCCTTCAGGACACAGGCAGCAGTCACCGGTCTGCCTCTGTGGCCCTGGAAACAGATTTGATTTTTTTATTTTATTGAAACTGCAACAATGCAATACATGTGAGACACAGGCAGCTGTTGCTGGTGTTGTGTCCCACACATAGAAAGGAATACTGGACACACAATAGTCATTTTTACTTGAGTCTAGTGGGGAAAGTGCCTTTCCCAAGGGCACAAGATCGGTGGCATGTCAGGAAACAGATGTCACAAACTTTAGTTCTTGGGTCTGACTGAAATCTCTTATACAAGTCTGTGCCCAATTCTTTGTCCAGAGGGTACAATTTTTGAGAGCAAAAATAACAGAAACAATGAAAGAAAGGACCATCAAGTGCACCCCTGAGAGAGAGAGAGAGAGAGAGAGAGAGAGAGAAAATGGAGAGAGATAGATGGAGAGAGAGAGAGGGAGGAAGACAGAGAGAGAGGAGAAGGAGGGGGAGGGAGGGAGGGAGGAGGAGAGTGAGAGAGGGAGGGAGGGAAAGAGAGAGAGAGAGAGGTAGATATAGATTGGTTTATTCAAATATATAATTTTGTAAGTTAATTTGTTGTGACAAATATACACACAAGCCCACAGCTCGGCCACCCAAAAAAGTACTTAATACTAACTTTATACCCTCATGTAGTTACCTGTATGGAGCAGATCTTGGAACAGTATGACCCTGTCTCCAGGTCCAGCCCCCACAATGCAACGGTACCGTCCCTACTGCAACTGATCACATGACCTCCAGAAGGGAGAAACACGACACCGGTCACCTCTGGAGACGAAAACAGGGTAGAGTTAGGCTGGCAGATCAAGTCATGGACGAAGATATTATTTACATAATATTTACTATAATAACAGTCACTGTGACTATAATGCTTTTACCCTTTTGCTAAACATGTTCATGAGGTCCACTCACTGTTTCTCAAATGAATGTATAATGCACTTGACATGTCCAAAACATGTACATTGTACATGTAGCAGGATTTCATATATCTTGCACATTGAACCGTGTACATCCACGTATGCTATACCGGTAGCTTTTCTATCTACATGTAGTCCTGACCAGAAAAATCATATTAACATTACCCGTATGCACTTTTCAGGTAGCTAAAAGAAGATGAAGATAGCTAGCATATAGCTAAAGAAGTTATCAAATTCTAATGCATAATGTTTACCTTGAAGTTTGCATGCACATATGGTCTGCTCTGTTAATACATGCACTTACTCAACAAGCACATTGATTTCTTATATATGGGGACAGGAGTCTAAATCCCTCCTGCTATAAAATTGCAACATGATGTGACCCAACAATAGTTACCATGGTGACAGACATCTGGTTCAGGTCATTGACGTTATTTGTTTGGAGAAGAAGAGGAAGAAGAAACAGACCCCACATTGAACCATGTACATGTATAGCTTTTTCTATCTAGTCCGGACCAAAGACAACATTTAGTACCAGTATGTGCTTTTCAGGTAGCTAAGACAAGATGAAGATACCTAAAAAAGAGTTTTCAATCTCTGACCTGCATCATGGCAGAAGTCGTCCTGCTCGGCCTGTTTCAGGTCAGGGTTCCAGAGTCGCACCGTCCCGTCCAGAGAACAGCTCACGATGTGGCTGTTTGCTGCCATGGCAACACCCAGGACCCTGTCCGAGTGACCTGTCAGTGTCCTGATCTCGTTTCCCTGGAAATAAAGCGAAAATGAAGATTACACTTTGCTGGACAATGCATAGGCCTATGGTTACCAAAGCATGGACACATTAGAGAAGGGATACCATGTACTACCAGTATGTTGGCATGTGCACAACACATGCAGAATGTACTGTGCCTACATGTACATGAACCCAGATTTTTCATGGTTTTTGTTGTATGTATCAGTTTTGCATGCTTTGCATCAGTCTGAGAATTTTGCCAATTGTAGATCTTTTCAGACACAACATATGAAAACTATTACAGACACCATGCTGTCCTGAAACACCTGATCACAACCTTAAATACCTCAGATATTTTGACAATCTGCTGATTGACAGAAGTGCTATGCACAATACATTTACAAGTTCCACACAGGTGCAGTATGTTTTTTCGACATACCTAGAACCTAGAACACAACCTAGAACAAGCCCTTACTGTGTACAAATAGATAAATATATCAAAGAATGTTTAAACCTTAGAACAAGTAGTATTAGTTGACTCATCTATTGTTTTGTACGTAGGATAATTTCGTTGTACCCATGTTTATTTGTCTGTATATCTACATGTCTTAGACCTTAAGAAAGTCACTGTATTTTTTGTTGTGTCAATAAAGTTTATCTTATTTACTATTTGACATGATTTTGAAATTTCAATTGCAACCGGCAACTCACCTCCAGTGGTCTCCACATCCTCACAGTCCCATCATCCCCGGCTGTTACCATGGTAACCTGGGTGACCTTTGACTCCTCCCTCTTCTTGGCGCCGACCTTGCGTCTCCGGTGCTCCTCCTCCCACTCCTCCGTCTCCACGGCAACACTCCAGTCTGAGATTTCTGCCTCCTCCTGAGGAGTCTCTTCTCTCTCAACAGTCACTGAATATAAACAGTAAACATTTGGGATTTGATTTGATTTATTGAAATTACAACAGTGCAATACACTCAGAACAGAGGCAGCTGTTGCTAGTGTTGTGTCCCGCACATAGAAACGAATACTGGACAGACTATACTCATTTTCACTTGAGTCTATAGTGGGGAAAGTCGTGTAAAGTGGCTTTCCCATGGGCACAAGATCGGTGGCATGTCAGGACTCGAACCCGGGACCTCTTGATTCCAAGTCGCGCACGCTGCCGCTACGCCACACGACCCCACACGTGGGAGAATCAGACATTCAACCAACTTCATATAAAAGAAAGTGATCTTCCTCTAGCCTCCACCAGACCTTTCTATGGAAATACAGATCATTGAATTTGGCAAAAAGGAGAGTAAAATTGGCCAGGGGAGTCAGTCCAAAGAAGGTTGGTTCTTTCCCTCCGAAGTCAAACCCCAAGGTTTCCAAACTCCCTTGGCCAATGTTCTCCTATATATAGCCAAGAATGTCAATCTGGTAGACACCTAATCTCAATCTAGTTCTAGCTCACTAGCTGAAGGGCAACTCTTCCACTACATGGTTGTGACAGAGAAGACAAATGCTATGTACAGTATTTACAGGTTCATCATACTAGGGAAGTTCCCTTAGGCTAGGTCTTTTCTACTTAGGGGAACTTTAGTTTCCTAGTATGGCCCAATGTTTCCCTGACACGTACCTCTGAGGTCGCAGGCATTGACCCTCGTGTCATGTCCGTACAGTGTGGTGATCTCATCCCCCTTGTGAGACCACACCTTCACACTTCCATCGTAACAGGCCGACACTACACAGCCATGGCTGGTGGCTACCGAGTTGATCGCACTGGTGTGACCTGTAAGAGAATAAAAACACTCATTGTCCTAAACATAATATAATTATAATCTTAGCTCATATATATATATATTACATGTACATGTACATTGTATGTTTACCTTTGGAAAAGGAAACCATACTGTTTTGCTCTGTTTCTTCTTCTCACATAAGGTCAATGACCTGGACCAGATGGCTGTCATCATGGTAACTGTTGGTATTGGGTTACATTATGTAGCAGAACAGAGGGACTGGTCACGATATTCATTTTGTACATGTTCTAGACTATGTGTTTGAGTAAGAGTAAACAGAAATGTGAAGGTAAACCTTAATATGCATTCTCTTTGTAAATGTCACATGAATTTTATAGGTTACTTTGGAATGAATAACTGTTAGGCCTAGGAAAAAAAATGTTGTGTTTCCGGTTACCCGACCGACCCTATGAAAACCCCCCCGACCCTAGCCTTTTTTGGGCCGACCAAAAATTTCGAGCGGCTAGCGGTCGGTTTTCAAAACTGGGGATTTTATCCCCGATAAATGTGCTCGTCATTCCAATTTTCTTCGGTCGGGCGGCGTGGATCGAGCGCTAATTGCACGGATCGGGCCGCTATTCAATTCCATTGTCGGCACAATCCTGTGAATTGACGATGAATTGTCGATCTCACCATGACGCCACAAAGAAAACGTTGTCATTGGTAGAAAATCTGACACCCCGCTGGCGTTTCACAACAAAATTTTCATGTAAACAACTCCGACTGTCTTTGTTTACATCGCGAAAGCTCACCGATACAAAGTAAAACTCCCGCCGGCCGGCCGCGCCCGATCGCATGGTTGCGGCATGGCGCTAAGTTTTCGGCAGCTCGACGGAAAAATAATCCATCCCCAGAAGAAATGTTACGCATGAAAATAACAACTACAACTTGTTTTCCTCGTTATATGAGTTTTTGAGGCCGTAAAATGTTTAAAACGGTTGAAATTTGCTCGAAAAAACGGCTCGAAAATTCACGGCGAGAAAGACAACATGGCCGACCTGTTTTCACAATAACAATGGTCAAAGGTCAAGATAGCATCCAAATGTATACATACATGTAATAAGTACATATTACAGTGCTAAAACGATACTTTAAACGCATGAAAAATATTTTTTCGGCTACAACTGAAATAAAATTCAGTTATATTTTAGTAAGGTTAATTTTCAAACATTACTGAGAAATTTTCCGAATTAATTGGTTTCTTGTGTAATATTGTTGTTTCTATGTATGTGCGGTTGGATGCTGTCATTGTAAAGACCCTTTACATATTGGGAGAATCAGATGAGATATTAGAGATTATCACGCTTAGTACCGTGACCCGAGTGTCTCTCAAAAATTGTTTTTGAGTGGAGTTTATAAACATGATCACATTTTTATTTGTTCAGCTGTGTCAATATGTGATTTGTTTGAGAAATAGGATTTGGTTTAGTTTTTAATATATTAATGTCAGTTAACATCTTTGGAATAAATTGCTCCAAGTTCCAGGTAGTAAATACATGTACATTTTGTATCATGTATTTTTCACTTGTTGAACTTGTGGAGGCACCGTTGGCCCCCGGTTAGGGGTCATCCGGGGAACCTATGCCCATTTTTTTCAAAATTAAGGGTA